CCCAGCTACTTGGGAGGCTGAGGCAAGAGAATCGCTTAAGCCCAGGAGTTGGAGGTTGCTGTGAGCTGTGATGTCATGGCACTCTACCCAGGGGGACAGCTTGAAGTCTGTCTCAAAAAAAAAAAAAAAAGAAAAAGAAAAGCAACCTAAATATTCTAGAAACATGTAATTTTCCTTATATGTGATTATAAGCTATGAATAAAGAATTTATGTTCAGGCGCTGTGCCTGTAGCTCAGCAGCTAGGGTGCCAGCCATATACGCTGGAGCTGGAGGGTTCTAATCCAGCCCAGGCTTGCCAAACAACAATGACAACTACAACCAAAAAATAGCCAGGCATGTGGCAGGTGCCTATAGTCCCAGCTACTTGGGAGGTTGAGGCAAGAGAATCACTTTAGCCCACAAGTTTGAGGTTGCTGTGAACTATAACACCACAGCACTCTACTGAGGGTGACATAGTGAAACTCTGTCTCAAAGAAAAAAAATTTATGTTCATTAAGATCAGTTTTAATAAGATAAAGTTTTAATAAGATAAAATGAGAATTTTAATGCTTAAAAATAGGTGAATAGACTCATGGTTGAGAAGGTACCTGTAGTAAAAGGAAACCTAAACTTAGAACACCTTGGACAATTAATTAAATTACTCAGTATTATTTTCTCATCTTAACTCCAGAAATTTATATACCATACTCTGCCTTGTTCTTAGTCAGGCCTTCTGCTCTCTGATATATAAATTGAAACATTTCACAAAGATATTAGTACCAGCTACTTTTTACCCTTCTAGGTATTAGGGGTCTAGGATCTTGTAAGCTACTTCTTATTAATTTACATGGTTACCAGTAAATAGTTCTGGAAGAGCATTTATGCATTCATTCAGCAAATATTATAGTGATCAATCAAATTCATTATTTGTAACATCAGTGTCTTAGTTGAGGTCGCCAAAAAGCAGACTGGCGACAAGGATGTGGTAGTAAATAGCTTCTTTGGAAGGTGGTCACCAGAGATCTGAGGACTGGACAAGGAAGGTCCATAGTAGATGTATCTAAGTTGGCTGGGCACAGTGGCTCACAGCTGAACTTGGCACTCTGGGAGACCAAGATGGGTAGATCAGTTGAGCTCAGGAATTCAAGACAACCCTGTCTCTACTAAAAACAGAAAATTTAGCTGGGTGTTGTGGTAGTCCTGTAGTCCCAGCTACTTGAAAAACCGGGGCATGAGAATTACTTGAACCCAGGAGTTTAAATAAGAGTTTGAGCTATGATGGCTCTGCGCCTATAGCTCAACCGGCTAAGGCGCCAGCCACGTACACCAAAGGTGGTGGGTTCGAATCCCCAGCCCGGACCCGCCAAAACAACAATGATGGCTGCAACCAAAAAATAGCCG